GCCAAAATGATCTTGTCAAACATTCAGTCATTTTTAAAGAGTCTTCTACCTGCCTAAAGAATGGAGCCAGAAAGCTGCCCTGTAGAGTCATATGACAAAAAAGAAAACATTCTGATATGTTATATCATGTCTGAAAGGACTTTGATGAAGCAACAGCTTCTAAAATTGCGTTTGGTGTGCCTTAGTTAGTGTCCATAAGATGAGGACACTAAAGTTTCCACCCCCCTCATTTCCTCCTAACCTGCAGACACACATTTCACGCTCTCTTAAGCAATTACTGGGTAATGACCAAGTTGTCATGAGTCAATTGAAGAGGAAGATAACAGAGGATGTGAAAGCAGCAGACTGTCCAAACCCATATTCCCTTGAAGCCCTCACTGGCATCAGAATGTGAAGTGGAGAAGATTTTGATGTTAATAAATGGGTTTGACCACCTTTCATTTAATGAGAATTTCCCAAGGGATTTTAGGGATGAATACATACACGCCTGGGATTTCCAGGAAGTCTTGCTGAACTGTCAAATCATCTGCTTATGTCCAATTTAACTCACTCTCTGAAAGTGTGTACTGCCTACTGTAGAACAAGGAAGATACTGAACTCTGCAGCAGATAATAAGAAAAGCATATATAATACATGTCCTTCCCTCTCAGATCTACAGTGTGGCTGAGAATTGAATGAGATATTTGATTCATTGTCATAACAGAATAAAATATATAAAAAAGAATTATATTGAACATAGTTCAATCTCATTCATTCTCACACTAGCTACATTCCTCAAGTAGGATTATTTCCCCTGAAATGGGGAGAGTGGAAAACTAGAAGAGACTGTCAGCTCTTGCCTAGCAACTTCCCAAGTGTGAGGTGTGGAGCACAGGTGTCCTTTCCCATGATAAGCCAACCATGCAGGTGAACTATGGCTAACTCCCAGCTGTGGGGCACAGGGTGGTTTAGTTTTTGTGGAACATAAAGAAGAAACTTTTACAAATTCTCTCAAATGATTCTGATATGAACCAGAATGAACACTGAGCTAAGATATTGGAAACATTAAAAAGGAACATCAACAAGAAGAGAATTTTGAATTCTCTCAAACAAAAATAATTGAAAGAAAGAATATTATAGAAGAACAAAATTCCCAAATACACATAGATTTCTGTTTTCTTCATGTAAAAAAGAGGCTTGTCTGGATCACTATTTAAATAACTATATTCTGATACTGGTAGCATAGTGGCTAAAGCACTTGACTGCTAACCAGAAGGCTGGCGGTTCAAACCCACCAGCCACTCCTCGGAAGGAAGGTTGGGCAATCCTACTTCCGTAGTGATACTGCCTCGGAAACCCAAGGAGGGGTCGCTATGAGTCAGGGCTGACTCGACGGCACATAACAACAACAACAACAACATTCTGATACTAGAATAAATTAACTTCTAAGAAAAAGATTAGTTCACAATTTCTCAGCTATGGGTACACACCAAATTGCTTGGGGAGCTGTTAAAATATAGAGGTTTGGGTCTCACTCAGAGATTCTGATTAATTACCCTGGGATGTAATTTTAACAGCTCCCAGAGGATTTGAATGTGAACCAAGTGGGCTAGCTCAAGTTAAATTTGTTGTTGTTATGTGCCGTCGAGTCAGACCCGACTCATAGCGACCCCTCCTTGGGTTTCCAAGGCAGTATCACTACGGAAGTAGATTGCCCAGCCTTCCTTCCAAGGAGTGGCTGGTGGATTTGAACCCACCAGCCTTCTGGTTAGCAGTCAAGTGCCTTAGGCACCAGGCTACCAGAGAAAGGTCAAGTAAAAGAAGATAAAGGAAAACTCATAAATTTACTTCCAGTCCCCATTACCTCAGGCACCGGTTACTCTCAGCCAATTTTCAACCATCCAGGATCTCTACTGGGAAGTTTTACACAGACATGTCTCCAACCCAGCCTAGACTTTTGTCTCCTCCTTTTCAACCTCTTATGCTCAGTTTTCTCAGACCCCACTCTAGACTGAACCTTGTCTGATCCACTAATTCAAGAAAAGGCATTAACAGCTGATAACAACACAGAATTAGAGAAGACCCCAAAACCCAGTGCCATCAAATCTATTCCAACTCATAGTGACCCTATAAGACAGAGTAGAGCTGCCCCATATGGTTACCAAGGCTGTAAATCTTTCCAGAAGCAGACTGCCTCATCTTTCTCCCACAGAGAGGCTAGTGTGTTGAAACTACTGACCTTTTGGTTAGCAGAATTATAGAAGGGATACATTAAAATAAGAAAATAGTGAAATCGCCTTCCAGTTACTCTTGTCTTTCAGCCCCCTCTGGCAGCCATGACTCAAAGAACCAGAAATGTAGGCATGTTTGGCAGAGCCAATGTGGGCAGATTCTGCCCTGTGGGCAATTGCCAAAGCCTGCCCTACTAAATAGGCTGTTCCTGCCCCTAGGGTTTCCTTTAATCTAGTCAATTTGTGGCCCTATCATAAAAGAGATATTAAGTTTTGTCCATGATTTTTTTCTAAATTATTGTTGTGTATTTCTTAAAAACTGGAGTAAGTTAATTTTCCGTGCTAATATTTCTCTGCTCCCATTGGAACCCAAAGTCCATATCTTTACCTAATCTTAACTATTCCTAAATTCCCTCTTTTTAAAAATGAATATGTGCTCTGCTTTGGTTCTTCCTTCTTGGAGCATCTCATCAGTCACTAAGCTGGAAGTTAAGGGTCCATCTTAGTCCCATGGGGCCTGCAGGTGGTGCACATAAATTTCCTTACAGCAACCAGGTTCTCTCTATTATATATAGCACATGGCATTGCCAGGAAGGCAAGAATTTGGCCTTGTAAAGTGGCCTTGGCATCTATGACACCATGCACCATCAATTTGTTTCACCCTGAATATTCCCATGTCCTCCTGCTACTTCTTCTTCCGTTGGCCCTGGCTTCCTCTCTCATCTCCAGCCTTTGTCTTCCCTTAATGCTTAGGATTATGTGCCTTGTCAGCTCTTCAGTTCACCCCAGCCCTTGCCTCCTAGACTGACAGTGGCATGTACCTGTGGATACCTGGTAACTGTCTGTGACATCCCCCCAGGATGATGTCCATATCTTCAGACTGGACTTGACCTTTGTCTGCTGCTCCTGCCGAGCTGGCCTCAAGCATACTTTATTTTGGTCTTGCCACACACTACCCACAGTCTGCAATGTCACTTCCTTTCTGTCAATGACATATAATACTCTTCTATTATGAGCTGTCTATTCCTATTTCCTGGTTATTTTACAGGGAGACCAAAAAAAGAAAAACTCCATTGCTGTCCAGTCAGATCTGACTCATAGTGACCCCTCCTTGGCTTTCTGAGGCGATATCACTACAGAAGTAGATTGCCCAACCTTCCTTCCGAGGAGTGGCTGGTGGGTTTGAACCATCAACCTTCTGGTTAGCAGTCAAATGCCTTAGGCACTACACCACCAGAGCATGGACGTACATTTACCATAAACATATCTGTCTTTTGGATGGCATCTCTTAACCAGTTTATTTCCTCCAGCTAATAAGAAGAGTAATAGCTCTCTTGAAACTTCTTTTTCTCCTGTGATATTGATAAAAGAGGCATTTCCGTATTTCTCCAGACCTAATGCCACTTTCATCATCTACTTATCTATTTTCCTATCTTTCACTCTGTTTTTCACATTCCAGTTGGTTTTTGGTTAAATTGGTTCTGTTATATATAAGATCTCCATGAATCAGAGATGACTCTAAGGCAGTTGACAACACATTGGTTAAGCAAACTAAATACCATTTGGTAATTTAGAAATAAAAAGGACATGATAAGGGAGTAAAAGTAGAAGGGAATAGTCGTGGCCACTCACCTGCTTGAGTAAACATCCTTGCTTGATAATGACCCCTCTGAATTCTTCTTTTAGAATCACATCATCATCGCTAGAATTCTCTTCACAGAAAAACCCACTGTCTGGCTGTTGGGAAACCAAAGAGCACGTTCATTTTTCCAGTCTCAGGTGTGTCATTACATGTGCCAACTCCCCCTCCCCGTCACCTCCATTCAACAAGTTCCACTCCTCCTTCTCCTTCCGCTTCTTGTGCATATCCCAATTTGAATTTTAAGGGTTATCATTGGTTAGCAAGTTTCCCCTTTTTTTAATTTTTACATTCTGTTCCACTCCTCTCCTCATTCAGGTGTGAACTGAAATCTTCAATATCCCTTCAGTTTCTTGGGTTCTTAAGCTATACTCTAAGTCTACCTTAACCTCCCCTGTGGTACACATTTTTGCCTTCAAAGCTTTTATTCTCACGGGACATCATGACTGGATCATTGAAACAAAGTGAGCTAATTTAAAAGACACCGTGCAATACCATCTCTCTTGCCACATTTTGCCTCCTCTCATGCTTTGAGAAGACTGAGAGCAGGCCTCCATCCTCATCCTCTGAGATCAGGAGGGAATTGGGATCTCCCAACTATAGCAGAGGAACCACTGTGGTGGTATTTTTAGAATCTGCATTTAAATGACTATGTATAACCAGATTAAAGGTCTTAAAAATAATAAAATAATACTGACAGTGAAACTTCCCCCAAATGAGAAATGAAAGTCTCTCTGAGACACTTACTTCATTGTGGTAAAATAGATGGTTCTGTTACACAGCTTCCTAACTTCTAGTCTCTAACTCAGAGTAGAAACAAAGCTGTCAAAATCCCCTGAAACACCTGCTGTTGTGGGATTTCTCACATGGCCCAAGGTTAGAGACATGTTGTGCAATACTGTGTTTCCCAACCTGAACATGTGGTAAGCATACTGTGGAAAAACGTAAGCTGATAGAAGGAGGTAATGTGGATGAACAATTTTTGTATTAATAGTTGTAAATTTTTATGTGTCTTTCGGAAAATACAACTAGCAAACCACTCGTGATTTTATATATCCTCCTCTCAGAAAGGAAACTCCATGGCAGTTCAAACTTTCTGTGTTTTGTTTTCAAGGAAATACCTGAAGCCTCAAAGCCCATTTGTAGCTTCTATTACCCCAATGCTTCCCAGACTTGACAGCTGGCCCCCTGCACAATTCCTTCTGTGTTTAGGAAAGTTCTTGGCATGTACTGTAGTGTTGTTGTGTTGCTGTTGAGTCAATCCCAACTCATAGCAAACTTAGAGGGCAGAGTACAACTGCCCCATAGGGTTTCCTAGGCTGTAATCTTTATGGGAGCAATGGCCAGGTCTTTCTTCCATGGGACTACTGCGTGGGTGTGAACTAACAACCTTTCAAGTAGCAGCTGAGCACTTAACTATTTGCCACCAGGGCTCTGTTGGCATGTACTAGGGCCTAATAAAGTTTTATAAATGAATTAATGAATAAGATAAGGATAGAGTCATTCAAGTTTAATAAGTAAGTCAATTTAAAGAAAAGATCAAGTAAATAATAGTTTCCCATAAACTGATTAATTTAAACATGGAAGGAATTGTGTAGAGGGACAGCTGTCAAGTCTGGGAAGCATTGGTGTAATAGAAGTTCCAAATGGGCTTTGAGGCTTCAGATATTTCCTTGATCTCCCTGACTAATCTCTTGACCCCTAACAGCTCTCCGTAGGACTGGGTCCTTTTTTCACATATCTGAATAAGAACAGAAATCAACCTAGAATCTGCCCAGGCAGCCCAATCACACCATGATAGATGGGTTGCTTATCTCACTTACAAAGTAGTAGAATGCATCAGGGTTGTCCAGGAAAGGATTTTCAGCAGTGCCATCTACTGCAGTCTTGGACAGGTCTCCCGCAGGTTGCAGGTACCCTTCATTGAGCAGTGAGGAAGCAATCATGAGGCCTTCCTGGCGAGTTCGAATAGACTGGTTGGATACCAGCCAGTCGATGACACAGGTACCTGGAAGGGGCCACCAAAAGGAGGGTTAACTCTTTGTTACCAAAGAACAAGACCCTGACAATCACCCTGAACCGGCTCCAGGGCACCCAAGTGTGTGGCTCATCACACCTTCCCTATTATTCCAAGAGGAAAGAGGGAAATTAGTGAGATAAATGCCTGCAAAAAAAGTAACCAGTGTAAGGGGTTTTCTAAACATCTGCATGCTGCTTATGGAGTCCCTTGGGTGGTGCACATGGTTAACAATGTGTGGCGACTAACAAAAAGGGTGGCAATTTGAGTCCAAGACACCTCAGAAAAAAGGCCTGACAATCTCTGCCCAAAAAATCAAAACAGCTCATGGGGTCACCATGAGCTGGAGTCAGCACGACAGCAAATGGTTTTATATTCCACTTAAGGAGGCAACACATATGTCATAAAAATACTTTTTTTTACTAATCCATTCATTTATTCCATTAATGAAGCATACTGAGCATCTACTAGAGGCTAGGCATTGTGATGGGTTGGGGATGCTACACTTAAGGAATCTGAAACAAACATGGGTGATAAACAAGTAAGTGTTGGAACAAGTATTCTGTTCTAGTGGTGGGGCTACCGGGTCAAACCTGCAGGAATCATCAAGAGGGGTAGTGGCAGAAGGCCATGTTGTGCCCGACTGTCAGGAAAAGAGTCATAGAGGAAGTGACACTGGGGCAAGTCTTAAAAAATGAGTAGGTGGTTGCCAAGAAAATGAGGCAGGGGCTGTGAGGAACCAGCACATGCTGAGGGAGCAGCACCACTGAACAGATGCACGCAGGCATGAAGCAGCCCTGTGGGTGAGGAGGAGGAGCTGGCAGAAAGCAAGCACAAGGGAATGACAGGAAGGCACAGCATAGGGTAGGGAGAGCTTTGATGGCACATTAAGAAATTCGGCAGTGAGGAGCCATTGCGAGTTCTTAAGCAAAGTAATATAATCATAAAAACAGTTGCCAATCATAAACAAAAACAGACTCCATCGAGTTGATTCTGACTTGTGGTGATTTCAGGTGTGTCGGATTAGAACTGTGCTCTGCAGGGTTTTCAACAGCTGATTTTTTGGAGGTAGATCACCAGAAAACTTTTTTCAAGGAGCTTCTGGGTAGACTCAAACTGCTTACCTTTTGGTTACCGCAAGAGCTTTAAAAGTTTGCACCACCTGGGCACTCTAAACATATCAGATGTGTCATAAATGTAAATTTGATTTCATCACTTGGAGTGATTATCACACCTTTGCAGGTCTAATGAGAACTTAAGAAGTCATTTAAGCAACCTTCTGCCTCATGATAGGATGGTGAAGAGAATTAAATGAAATTAACCCATCAGTTGAATTATATAGCTGGCTACCATCAAGCTTTGTATGAAAAATGGTGTGGGGGGAGCCAACATACTAGCCAGTGAGCCCTAGGGTCATACAAGCAAGAGCAGTAAGGTTATTGCCATCCTCAAAGCACGACAAGAGCAACTGGTTAGTGAGCTTTCCATGAATTTCATATATGGAAAACTCTTGTGCACTTTTCTTTCTCTATAACATCAACTAACGGATACTGCATTATTGCTTTTAATTCTTAACAATAACCCTGTAAACAAAGTAGGGCAGTAATTACAGATCTCATTTTGAGAATAAGAAAATTAAGTCTTAGAGAGTTTAAATAACATTAGGGCTTAAGTGACACCTAAACCAGGTCCTAACCCAAGATCTCAAGCTTATTCAACAAGGCACACTGAAGCTTGAAAGGCAAGTTAAGCCTAAACAAACAAACAAAAACCTCACTGCCATTGAGTTGATTCCAACTCATAGCAACCCTCATTGGGTTTCCAAGGCCTCATTTTCCTCCCACACAGCAGCTGGTGGATTTGAACTACCAACCTTCTGGTTAGCAGCCAAATGCCTTACCCACTATGTACCAGGAGTTCTGGTAGCATAGGGGTTAAAGCATTTGGCTGCTAACCAAAAAGTTTAGCAGTTTGAACCCACCAGCCTCTTTGTAGAAGAAAGATGAGGCAGTCTACTTCTGTAAAGTTGAGTCTAGTTTCCCTATTACCTAACATTTAAGGTCCTCTGACCTGTGTAGTACTACCTGGGTCCCAGTCTCTACCACAGACTTCATCTCCCTGATGAGACCACTTGACTTCCATAAGAAAGCTCCATACCACCTGAATTTCTAAGATTTACTTTGACATTCGATGGAAAGGACTTAGGAAATTCTAACCCCATACTCTGGGACTACACTTCAAACCTCCTCCTAGTTCCCTTTACCTCAGTCCTGCTAGAGTGGGAGCCCTGCCTTGCTCTTGCCAGTTTCCCTTACCATTTGCCCATGGCATGGTACCTTGGTCCCAAATCTCAGCCCAGACTTTCCTAATCTAACTGGCTACTGCCTTAACTTTCTAAGGCCAAATTCCCATGGGGTACTACTTTGTTACCCCATGTCATGCTTTTTTCACCTTCACCTTGCTGATCCTGACCTGGACCATTTTCATGGATTATCTGTTGACTAGATGTCCTCACATTCTATGTCTATTGTATCTTCATAGAGTTTTCTCCCTTGACCTCTCCTGCCAATGAAGGTAAGCCCTGCCTGGCATCTGACAAGCCTGGTCCCAAACTTTACCTCTCATTTTACCCACCTTACCCCTATAATGTACCTTTGTAGTCCCTGGATGGTACAAATGGTGAATGTGTTTGTCTGCTAACAGAAATGCTGTCAGTTTTAGTCCATCCCAAGACGCCTGGGAAGAAAGACCTGACAATCTACGTCCAAAAGCTCAGCCACTGAGAACACTACGGAGCTTGGTTCTACTCTCACATACGTGGGCTCACCATGAGTCATAATCGACTTGATGGCAACTGGATTTTTAATGAAACATCATTGCTCCTACCAGGCTGGCCAGTTCCTTTACCTGGATGTACATTCTGCCCTTCTCTACCTCCACAGCTTTATCCTCACCATTCTTGCCTGGCCTCCTCATCAGAAATGTTCTTTACAAATACATAATGATATTCTACTCTCCCAAGCATCAGCACCACCACTTTTTCACCCCTTTTTCTGAACTCACAGAACTGATTATGAGACATGTGCAGCTTTGGTTGTAATAAAAACGTTGAGTGCTTGACCATATCACACTTCTTATGTGCCAGGCACTGTCCTAAGCACATTATAGCAAGTCTATAAGGTGGGTGTACTATGATTATCCCGATTTTGTAGATGAGCAAAGAGAAGCAAAGAAAGGTTAAGTAATTGGTCCAAGGTTTTATACCTAGTAACTTATAGAGCCAGGATTTGAACCGACAACAGCCTGGCTTTAAAGAACATGTTTTTAACCACTATACCATATTGCCTAAGGAGTTCTGGTGACATAGTGGATAAGGTACTTGACTGCTAACTGGAAGGTCAACAGTTCAAACCCACCAGCCACTCTGGGGAAGAAGACGGGGTGATCTACTTCCATAAAGATTTGTAGCTTTGGAAACCCAATGGGGATTGCTATGAGTCGGCAATGACCCGATGGCAGTGAGTTTGGCATTTTTTGTTTTTGTTTTTTATACACCATACTGCCTAAGCTCCTAGTACTTAGTGCCTGACCCTGTGCATCCATGTGACATCCTAATATTGTCCTTTAAATCTTATATTTTATGCTCTTGGCCCCTACTTACAGTAGCAAGGATCACATCTTACTTAACTCTGTGTCTGCTGCCAGCAACTCTCATCATAATGCCATTTACTGGGGGTGGGGGGAGATCTTTCTATTGCTACATCTGGAACTCCTAAAACTTTCTTGAACAACCAAATCATTGCTACCCTTCTCTCTGTTTCTACACTGGGGAAATTTAGTTCTCATGTGGCTCCCGATCATGCTCCACATCCCTACCTCACACCCAGGCAGAGCTCCACATCACCTTCCCCAGTCACCCCACTTCATGCTTGCAAGTCCTTTTACCTGTGAAACAGTGATTAAAAATCTTCTTGTCCTTCTCAAGATTCAGTTCTTTTATTCCTTTTTCAGCATCTTTCATAGACAAATACAAGGCACTGCACAGAGATGAAAACAGACAGGTGAGTGGTGAGCATTTCAGAATGGCATGTCCTCTCTGGGAGTCATCACCTTGGAAAGGCTGGCTCTGGGCACAAGCTCCCTTTCCCCAGGTGGTCCTGAGTCTAATCTCCCCATCAACCACATCCTAAGTAGTTACAACCACTGCTATCATATTTATTCTGACTCATAGTGACCCTTTAGGACAGAGTAGAACTGCCCCTTAGGATTTCCAAGGCAGTAAATCTTTATTGAAACAGACTACCTCATCTTTCTCCCACGGTGCAGCTAGTGGGTTCAAACCACCAATTTTGGGTTGGCAGTTAAATGCTTTAACCATCATGCTACCAGAGCTCCTCAAGTACACAACAGCATTTATATGTGCCTAACTCTATGGCCTGCACACTACCTAGCAAAATGTGCTAAGAAAATACTGAATGTATTTTGAATTTATAAATCTTTTTGGTCACTTAACTCCTTCTGCCTGAAGTAGAGAGCTGTAACCAGTTAGAGGCCAAACAATAAATGTTGTTGGGACCTATTTTCCATACCCAGTCAGAGCCTGACATCCTCACATTCTAGATCTTTAAGGGTCCTCAATCCTCATGTCCCAGTTCTTTAAGGATCTTCAAGTGCAAGCATTTGAAGGTGTACCCATTTGTCTCCAAGGTGAACATTAAGACTGAGCTTACCTCTTACCCTAAAAATAGTAAGAAGGCAAAAATTTTTGTCCTTGAAGTAATAAGTGAAAAAGGTCCTCATGAGATTATCCCCAAACAACAAACAGAATGCTACTTCCATGTATCCTGTGGCTCCAGGTAGCCAGAGCATCCTTCCCCATAGCTTTGACAGATGTGACCAGCAATGTCACCAGCCAGCAGATGCAGCTAGTCTAGATTCCACCTCTTGTTTCTTTACCAGAAAGTCTCTTTGGTGAGGGAAGCTGCTCAGTTTCACTAAATTTAATTCTCATATTTTATCAGATTCCTAAAATATATCAAGCCCCGGGTTAGGCTTATGGGAAGGGTGTCTTCAGTTCCCTCTCAAGGACCACCCCTCACCATGTAAACAGAATCCCTGTTGGACATTTAAGCAGCCATCATGGGCTTCTTCCTGACAAGGCTACTGTTTCAGGGTATCCTTGATGTAGTAAAAGCAAAACAACTGGGAAGAAAAGAGCTTCCTAGAAAAAAAAGACTTCCATGACAGGAGAAGATGGAAGATATAAAACATGTCAGAAGTGGCCAAAGCAAGCCTTGGGGCAGGAAAAAAAAATAGGATAGGGAAGAACATAGGAGCTCTGGTAGCATAGTGCCTAAGGCACTTGACTGCTCACCAGAAGGCTGGTGGTTCAAACCCACCAGCCACTCCTCAGAAGGAAGGTTGGGCAATCCTACTTCCATAGTGATACTGCCTCAGAAACCCAAGGAGGGGTTGCTATGAGTTGGGGCTGACTCGACGGCAAACAACAACAACAACAACAGGGCAGAACATACAGTATTGCATTGTCAGTGAAGGCAAACGTGTATATGGGTAGATAGATGGGTGGACAGGCTGAACTATTAGGTATGTCTATGTAGTGGGATTGTAACCAAGACCATGTATAGGGTTGGCAGACAATGGTTCTATGAGTGTATTTGTATGTTCTTTAAGAATTCCCAGGGGTATAGTAGAGCTGACAAGGGACGAGGTTATAGTCACTTCTTGGTCATAGCCAGCTATCCAGAGGGACCAAGTAGTTGAACCTGTGGGCTCGGACCATAGTCACAGGGGACATCAAGCTCAATTGGCATAACATACTACACAAAACATTGTTCCATCTCCTACTTTGGCAAGTAGTGACTGGGATCTTAAAAGCTCGCAAGCAGCCATTTAGATGCAATGATGGGTTTCTCCTCATCCAGAGCAAAGAAGAATGAAGAAAACCAAAGATTCATGGAAACAATTATTCCAAGTGACCGTTAGGCCATATGATCCACAGTCTATATGACTATGGGACCAGAAGAATTAGATGGTGCCCGGCTACAAGTGTCAACCACTCAGAGGGGGATCTATGTAGGAGATCCTGATAGAGAGGGAGAATGTTGAACAAAACTCAAAATCATTGGGAAAAAAAAGGGGGGGGACCAGGTTTCTGGTCTGATAGAGCCTGGTGGAACCACTGAGACTATGGCCCCTAGCTGCCCTTCAGGTCTGGAATTGAACCCACACCTGTGGCTTCCAGCCAAACAAAAGGCAGGCATGTGAGTTGAACATTTACCTGAGGTAGATACACTCCTTGGAGAGAACAATCATGGGAGAAAGAAGGGCTTTTTATGAACAGGGAGACAGCTCGGGGGCAGGGGTGCATGGAGGGATGGACACAGGGAAAAGGTAACTATCAGGAGGAAGTGGGAGGGGAGCTGTTGCATTGGGGTAAATTGTAGCCAATGTCATGAGACAAAGTGTGTGTGAACTGCTGTATGAAAGTGAATTTGCTCTGTAAACTTTCACCCAAATCACAAAATAAAAAATAAAAATAAAAGAAAGGACAGAGAGAAAGCAAACAGAAACTCACCTTAAGTCAATAGTTTCTGGCAGTCGAATGGACCTCCTGGTGGATTTCCTCGCAAACTTCTGGCCTCCTTCAATGCATTTAATGGCTTTCTTGGTGTCCCTAACCCAGGCATCTCTCTCCTCCAGGTAGGCTGCCTGGAAGAAGTGATCCTGCTGTTTGGTTGTAGTGATCTTAAACACAAACTGAAAATCAAAACACATCCATTAGGAATGACACCTTTCAAGGGGTTGAAGCCCCTTATGAAGCAGAGCAGTTGACCCAACCTTGCTCTGAAAGTGCTTAGTTCTCATGGTTCCAGATCCAAAGCCCAGGGCAGAGTGTGATGGGAGGGACTGGCTCAGGGTGCACCATCCACGTTGCAGGCTGTGCCCTTGTCAGATCAGGGCTTGACAAGATGTTCCCTGTGGCTAGTGATGCCAACTCACCATTCTTTTGCCAAAGTCCTGACAAGGGCTAGTCAGAGTGCTTCCTTTCAAGGGGATCATTCCTTTGGGACTATTGTCACTTTTCTTCTTATAGAATTCAATTCCATCTTCTAATAATACAACCCACATGGGTTTCCAGGTGTTGAACACACTCGCCTGAAATGACAATGAAAAGAGTTGACATGGTTTGGGGTTCTGAAAACTGCATTTTCTTCCTAAATGGAAAGATTCTGTAGTTTTTTAGAGCTTTAAAAATGTTTCATGACATCACTTCCTATGTTCCACCATAGTCCTCTCTAATGGTGACTTCTAGAGGTGCCATTCTAATTTCTACCTCAGACTGTTTGCTGCAGCTGACCCCACTGTTCTGAAATTCCCCTTCCCAGCTCCACTCTATAGTAGAACTAACTGTTCCATTGAGTTTTCTTGGCTATAATCTTATGGAAGCAGATTACCAGGTCTTTCTTCTGTGGTGCCACTGGGTGAGTTCAAAGTGACATCTTGGAAGTTAATAGTTAACCATTTCTACCACCCAGCAACCCTCTGCATCCTTCAGGCCTCAGCTTAGCCCACCTCATTGGTGAAGCTCTGTCAACCTGCACCAGCCCACCCTTCATCTCCTTGAGATCAACTCTTGCTTGACTTATGGGCTGTGCCACATATTCTGGAACTTTGTTGCATGCTGCATTATATAATTCTTCAATTATCTTAAGTGTAGTCATCTTTTCTCCTCTGTAGCAATGACATCACCAGACACTTTAATTTGCTCATGGTACTGAGCACATAGTACATGTTCATTAAAATTATGGGAAGGACTATTCTCCAGACCACCATATGCTAGCTGCCATCATACTTCACTGAAAACACTGACAAATCTTTCTCATTCTCTACTTAGTCCTCACTCAGACTCTTCCCTGCTATAAGTTTCCTAAATTTGTATCTCCTTTCATTCACATGGTTCACAGCACCAGGAAACACAAAAGATCCATTTAATAGTAAAATGTTCACCCCCTTGGAGATGTGTAAGACCTGTTAGTCTGTCTTCCATCTGTAATGAGTTCTTACCATAATCTTAGAATATGGGTCATATATTTTTGTCTTCATTTACTTTCAAATGTTTAACTGGTTTCTTTAACAGGAGAAAAAGTAGAAAAACAGGTAATCACTGGTGTTTGGTTGGAAGGGTTTTTTGCTTTTAGGAAATTCCAATTGTTATATGCTTGTCAAAATTGATGACTCAAAAATTCTAAAGTAAAAAATGTAGTAAGATTTTTTACCAACGCTTCTCAAAATATAGTCTACTGACCACATGATTCACTGAAGATGAATGTATATAAAAGTTGGCCCCATCCCAAATCTGCCTTCACTTATAAACCCTGGTTTGGCTGCTGAAATTGCTGAATCTCAGAAGACCTCGTTCAAGTTCTAGATCTACTGCTTTCTTACTGCTCAAACTTGGATAGGCCACTTACCCTTTCTGAGCACCAGGTCCTCAGAAATTAAATAAGGAAAATAATGACCATATCAGAGATTTCTAGCACATATTAACTGCAATCATGTGGACAGAACTCCTTAAGTTCCAATGTGCTCAACAATTTGGAAGTTTATTATTAAATATCTTGAGAGACAGCCACATACAAACGCCTTCAATACTTTGACCTTCCAGCAAATAAACAGACATTCTTTCTAACTCTATTCCTGAAAATTGATAATGAACTGGTATCACTATCATTGTGATAATGACAAAGAAACTCGAAGCCACTTGTCACTTAGAGCAAGGAATGAGAAAGCTGAAGGCCTCACAGGAATGTGCTATGGAAAGAATGAGCTACCTCTCTTTGTTTTCCTCCCTGAGGGAGCTGTGGTGGAGTAGTGCCTAAGGCATTTGACTACTAACCAGAAGGCTGGTGGTTCAAACCCACCAGCCACTCCTCGGAAAGAAGGTTAGGCAATCTACTTCCTTAGAGATACTACCTCAGAAACCCAAGGAGGGGTCACTATGAGTCAAATCTACTCAATGGCAGTGAGTTTGGTTTTGGTTTGGGTGGGATGAAGTTCTGGGGTTTTGAGGGATCTGGCCTGCCCCTGGGCTTGCATGCCTCCTCTGTCACTGCATGACCTATTTGTATTTAGAAAGCCAGGAGATATGGGACAACTTGGGGTTAAACCTCAAATTTGGTATTGAGACTAATTTTGACCACTTATTAGTTGTAATATCCTTGGAAAAACTGTTCAATTTTTCTGAGTCTCAGTTTCTTTCTTTTGTAAGAGGGAGATAATACTATCTTACAGGATGGTAACAGGTATTAAATTTGGTTTAGATAATGTATAAAATATGCATATATAAATGCATAACATATATATAAAATGTATGTGGTGGTTAAGTTTGTGTGTCAACTTGTCTAGGCCTGGTTGAGTGGTTGGGCAGCTGGATGTAGTTATTCCCCATGATGAGACTGGTAATCAACTCCATGGCGGAATCTACTGTGAACAGCTGAGTAGCTACCTTTGGGTGTGTGGTCTGCTTCCTGTATAAAAGAAGCAGCTTTGGGAATGGCCTCTAGTTTATGGCACGCTTGAACCCTGCATGTAGCCGTGTCATTGTACAGCAGCTTGCCATGCTCTGCCGACCTTGGGACTTACAAAGAACTAGAGTTAATGGCCTGCCGTGTGGTTTGGTAACATCAAAACTATGCCTTTTTACTTGTCAACCTCAGCAGCCAGCAGCTGCCTGAGTGAAGAAAATCCTCTAGCTTCAGTGGGCTGGGAGCAGGGGACATAGCTGAAGCCCAAGGTTGAGGGGCTTCCACCCAGCTCCTAGAGCCCAGCACTTTGAACTCAGACTTCTAGCCCCCAAACTGTAAGAGAATAAACTCCTGTTTGTTCAAACTTCCCATTTGTGGTATATCCTTGTCAGAGCAGCACTAGGTAACCAGAACAATGTATTTAAAAAAACATTCTGTCAACTATAAATTACCACATGTTCCACACTCATACATCACTATCTCACCATTATATCACCAGGTGCTAAATAAAGTTGTGATTGCAATTAAAAGCACATTATGTGCTAATGGGTAGATAAAACTGAAAAAAGAAGATATGAAGAAATGACCAACAGAAGAGTAGAAATAATAATATATAACAGTGTTTTCTAGAACTATTCTATATATGTGTGCAGGGCTTAGTAAATAGCTTTGGCCAGTGTGGAAGCAGGTAATCCACTTTTTGTTTGGCCAGACTGTTCAGAAAAGCAGCATCCAGGGAAGAGGGGGACTGCCATCCTAGCTGGAAATTTTTTTTTAATTCAGGAATCAAATATATGTACATATATAATCAGCCCATGTACCCCTCATGGGTCATTACCGAAGGAAAATACTATGGCTACTCCATATTACCTCTTGTGCATTTCAAGCTGTTTTCTGTGGTTTATTTTCCCTTTCTATACCTGCTCATTGTGTCCTGTTTAATTTAAGAATGGCAGATAGATCCTATCTTAAGTGGCAACTCAGACTGAACAGGAGCAGCTGCTCGCTGAGGCTGGACTCACTGGAAAAGTGTTATGGTCCAACAACATTATCTACCACGGGCATGAAGGCCACAAAGGGTGGCATGCAAGTTGCAGTTGTTTCCATCCCTAGTCCAATCAGATTTCATCTGAATTCCAAGTACATCTTGTGTGCAGGCATCACTAAGTTGTGTGAAAATCACTTGCAAAATGGTCTACAACATTAGAGTGTTACTACCCACAATAATGTGGCCCTTGGAAAAATCTTTACTTTAAAAGTTTTCTATTTGGTTTAGTGCCAACTGCCCCTTTAGCAATAAATTAAACATTCCAACTAGACCAAGGAAAAGTTTCATGCTGCTCTATACCTTGGAAGGGCTTTGAGAAAAGAAAAAGAATCGTTTCTTTGCCTTTCCTCATCTCCTAACCAATGCTGTCATGACTGTAGTAAAATGGAATTATCATACAGTTCCCAGGAGATCCTGTTGCTTATCTCAGCCTACCAAGTACATGTATATAGAGTTCTAGTTGCCTAAAAGGAAGACTATTTGTGTAAAGAAGATAAATGCAAATACTTGTGGGACTATCACTCTACATGTCCAAACATTTCCTTTGTTATTTACCAAAAAAAAAAAATTAAAACACACTATCTCTTTTCTGCTCAAGTAGAGTAACTATGCAGACTGAGACTGGATTATTTCTCTTTTCATAAAATGAGCAAATCAGGCACTCTATGCTACCACATGATATAATTTCAATTAAAAGTCTTTTTGTTTTTACTGAGAGACTCTCAATAAACTTTCTGTTTTATCTCAAAGGGATTTATATCCAGAATTTAAATAGTCCTTTCAAATCAATAAGAAAAATACAAACAATCCAATTTTAAAACAGGTAAAAGAGTTGAATGGGAGCTTTACTAAAAAAGGTATCAAATAAGTATAAGAAGGAGTGTTCAATAGCATTATTTATTCATCAGGGAAATGTATATTAAAATTACAATGAAATACCTCTACACACTCATTAGAATGACTAAAATTAAAAGAGATTGAAAAAACCAAGATCTGGCAAGGATGTGGAATAACTGGAACTCCCATATTGCTAGAAGGAAGATAAAATGGCACATCCAGTTTGGAAAACTCTTTGGTAGTATGTATATATCAAAGTATACACATATCTGCCCTGTGCACCATCAGTTCCACTCCTGGGTATATATCTAAGAGAAATGAATGCTTATGTCTACAAAAAGTTACACACAAGGATGTTTATAGTAGCTCTGCACATAATAGATAAACTCAGATAGTAACTCAAATGCTCAGCAACAGAAGAATGAGTAAGTACATTGTAGTATATAAAATGGAATACAACTTAGCAATTAGAAAAGAAGAATGAACTAGCACACTTAACAGCATGCATAAATCTCATAGATATTGTGTTGAGTGAAAAAAAAAAAACAGCAGACACAAAAAAATTTCTTACAGCATGATTCAATTTATATGTAATTCAGAAACAAGCATAACTGATGACTAGTAGTTACCTAGAGCCAAGAGGACAGACTAGGGAGGGGCACGTGGAATCTTATGGAATACTGGAAATGATCTCTATATTACTGATCTGGGTGTTGGTTACATGATTAATATATATGTAAAATATC